CTGGGTTTGCTCCAACAGGCAGCAAGACCATGCTAGGTTTCTCACACCCTCCATCAAGCATCATCATACAGCACCACTGTGCCATACTGGGCAACCCCAGACGCCCCTCTGCCCACAAAGCAGAGGATGTCCAAGTGTAAAACAAGTAAAATACAAAGGTAATGTGAGGCTGCTTTCTCCTCATCTTTGAGGATTATAGGAAGTACAAATTCTTAAAGCTTTAAAAAAAGCTCTGTAGCCACGATGACAGCATTCCCTGAGCTGTCCTAGACCCACGTCAGTCACAGTTGCAAGAACCCACCTCACAGCTCTCACTAGGTACTTTCCCTAAAAGAGGAAGTGAAGCACAGCCTGCTCTATATGGGATGAGCCGTAAGTAGGGTGGTTGTGGGCCCATATATACCAATCTGACCCTGGGAACAGGGAAATGACTCATAAGTATAAGCATAGCCCACACTACCAGCTTTTAAACTGTTTTAGTTCCTTCGCCCTCCTAGGGAACAAAGGCCAAAGGTAGCAATTAAGGGGTAACATACAAGAACTCCCAATTTTCAGAGAGAAAGCCACATGAAACAAGCAACTGGTTACACCCACCTCTGAAAAAAAAAAAAACAAACCAACCAAAAAATAAAAAACCCAACCTCAAAACAGGTATGCTGAACAACCTGCTACTCAAGCACAGAGCAGACCCTTCTTTTCAATTCCCTTAAGCTCAGCTTCACCACAGAGATATCCTCTCATCACTTACTGACGTTTCTGCCCTGCATCAGCTTTTCTGTATTCAAATCATGCTGATCATTAGATAAATGAATGAGATAGCTTGTTGGATAGTGGTTCTAAAACAAAAATTTCCGGAAAAGACCACCTGTTCTTTAACAACTCAGTAGATTTTCCTTTCAGGGCTTCCAGATCTCTGCTTTAATTTTATCTACTTGACACAGAACGAGAATATTCTGGAGTATGAGCATAAGGTTCCTGAAAAACTGCAATTATATCTAAGTGGACCAATTGTGAAATATTCTCCCCATTTTCCATACAGGCAGTCAGGAATAAGGCCTGTTGTTTCTACCCTAAGATTGTATCGTAAGACTACCCCATTTTGACGTGAAATTAGGCATGGAGCCATTATTTGCATTTCAGGAAGCTTTTTACAATATCGCAATATACCTCCAGATTTCTATGCGACAATCTCAAACAGCTGATTGTAAACAAGCTTATCGTATGTCCAATAAGATTAGTAATTTGAACTTGCATCTAATATTCAATCAGGTGATCCAAGTCTGTGTCAACAAAGAGGCACAGAACATCGATAGTCAGATGAGGCTCCTATTTCTCTTTCCTCAGTTCTCCAAGAGCCTAGCCGAGTCATGACTGAATCAAAAATTATTTGGGAAAGAAGTGACAGAGATGAAGGAACTAGTAAGGTATCTAGATACTTGCTTTAAATTTCAGACATGGTACCAAAAGGACTCTTCACCCAACTCCTTTAAAAGATAATCAGGAAAATATTTTGTTTCTTTTACGAGACACAAACCATCAATATTTCCTACTCTCCTAACCAGAATTTTCCAGAGAAGTACAACTAGCCACAGCAATTTATTTAGACAAAAGGTTTACTCATCACAGCTGTAACACTTACTTAGCCCTTGAAACTGTTAAACAAAGAGACATAACGGAAACCATACAGAGGTCTCTACCATGGTCTTTCATAGATTCCACCCCCACCCCCACCCCAAATCATAGGTGGTAAACTACGTGTGAAATAAGCATCTTTCAAAACCAAAATGCGGCATTCAGGAGAGAAGCTTATATTTCAAGCAGAAACTATGAGCTATCAGTGCATAGAGTAAGATTCCTCTCCCTAGCACAGTTAAGAAACAAAGTTAAATTATAATCCAACTATTTTATTTATAGGGCAGCTTTTTCCTCTCCTCAGTAACTTCTGAAACCATTCAAGGAGAGGTGGAATTGCCATACATTCCTGCAACTTTTACGAAGAATCAGTGCCTGGAGAGAAGTCCCAAATCCAGTGAGGAAGAACTCAAATATGGTGAACCCTACCCTGTCCTAGCAGTACTTACACACTCCAGACAGGTCCAAGCTGCATTTTGACAATCCCAGCAGATGTCAAAGAAAACACAGGAGGAAACTGAGGCTACTACGGTAGAGGAAAGAGGTATGAAGCACACAAATCCATCCAAAGCTTTCTTTTGCTACTTGGAGGATAGCTTTCATTTTAATTGGCAACTTAAACCTATGTAACATGCATTTTTCTAACCATTTTGTGGGTATCAAAGTTATTTCAGATGACAGTATAATACTGAGCTAAAGTGTTAATATTTCTTCAAGAGTATTTTTTTTAGCAGATAAACCTTAAGATTATTTTTAAATTGTTTGTCAGAGCAGACTACAGTCTGAGTAAGCTTTCTTTACAACACTTAAAGAATGGGCTTTTACAAGGCTTATCCTGCTACATAGAACATTTTAAAGAACAAAACACATTTAAGATCACATTCAAAACACTGTTTTTCAAAATATCATGATATTTTAACGAGACTAACAATTTATTCAATGCAAATGCAAAGTATAAAGTTGTGGAGTTCCAAATACACATCCAGTCTGCCATTTCTAGTTTTGTGCAAATTAATTTACTCAAAATAATTTCAAATCTAGCATAGAGTCATTAACATCCAACCTCCAAAGTTACAGAACTGATATTTTTCACATCTGCTTGGAATTAGACTTCCCAGTTTTACTAGATTTAGTTTTTATTTAAAACAAAGGAAAAAACCTGTAAACAATTACTGTAAAAGCAATTAGCAACAAGAATGGGTGACAACTGTCAGTCTTCAAATATAATTTAAGCTATGCCCTCTCTCCTTACCATCAACTTTTAGTCAAACATGTAAATAAATACAATAATTTACACAAATAAAAGTTACCACTATAGGAAAATACATTATATGCTGTAATTTGGAATAAAATATCATAGAATATTGGCTGTATCATTTGAAATATGTATTTGACTGCTTAAAACAGTTTGATGCTAAGCAGTTAAACCTTTTCTTTGTGTAGAGGACTACACTTTTACTCACTGTTAGAAATGTGGTTTGTGATTAATTTTATATTAGTATATTAAACTCCTAAATGTGAAAATGACTCACGTCATTTAGTGAAAGAAGATACCATAGGCACCATATTTTTTTTTCTTTTTAAACAAAATCTGGTGATGAACCAGCAGTAACAAAATAAGATGAAAATTTAAAGGCACATTCAGACAACAAACAACACAGTTTGCATGATGCTATATTTAAAAAAAAATATTTATGCTCTGAATAATTGATTGGATCAGGAACAAATATTGTGGCAGATTCTACTCTGTCAGAGAGAAAGTAAATTGTAAAAGGTGTGCAATTCAAATTACATAATTATTTTTTAATGTTGAATTTTGTTTTGTTTTAAGGTCAGTATAAGGCTTATAACCAAGTGCATGTTAAGAGGACTGACTACTCAAAACCTCCTGTTTTCTGAGTGCATAGAAATACAATGAGCAATGAAGATATTCCTTGCAAGAAGATGTATTCTTCTACATGTGCAAGTCTTAATCAAGTACTTGAGCGTCTTTCAGGTCTTGGAACACATTTCATAATCGCAGCCCTCCACAGGGCAGGGGCAAGTAAAAGGCTTAAAGTAGTCACACTCAGAATAAGAAGATAGACCTGAAAATTGGAAATAAAAGCCATTACTTTTCTTAGTCTTCACTTGTATTCCTAACCAACTATGCATACTGTTATAAAAGCAAACAAGTGCATGCACAAGTCATCTAATTATCTGCTTATCTGGTTTAAAGATACAAGTGCAAAAACCAATGTTATGACCTTATAGAAAAACAATTATTTACATGCATAGTTAAGAGGTCAGTTTTGAAAGGTCAAGGTTTGCTCAAATAACACTTTATTAAAAAACCCAAAACCTATGCTAGCTTAATGATATAGTGGCAAAGTGCACTACTATTTTATACACTCAAGCAAACAAAAATCCCTTTAAGTTGTACTGCACATCTTCCAAAATAAGATCATAACTACATATTCTGAAAGAGCCTTATAAAATGGCAGCGGGAAGTAGTTTTGAGGTCTCAAACAGAAGAATGCCTTTTGGAAATTTCAGAGCTGTGTAAACCTACACAGTAGACAATCACGTGAGAGCTGCCACAGAAAAAAATGAAAGCCTAAAGGCCTCCAAGCACAGTGGGTGGGCCCCTAAACTGGTTCTGTGATCACATATGGATATCTTGAAACTCTATACAAACATGCAATATTTATAATTCCTAATTATATGCAGGAGTGAACATGAAAATGAATCACCTTTACCTATACAAGTGAACAGCATTGTTTAAGTTTTTCACACGTGCTTTATTTGGAATTGGTTCCAGCATTATACAGCCCCCTTGCTCACACAATGAAAAGCTCAGAGCACCAGCACAGTATTTTTATGAGCAGAGATACAGAGGAGAAAGCAGCTAGCACTAGAAAGTGAGGTCAGTTGTATCTCTATAGCCATAATTTACTTTAATTCACAAAGCAGACTTCATATTGAAAAAATAGCATTCTCACAGCTTCAATAATAAAACTAAATTTAAGGTTTCTTTCCTAGGGGATTTTTTCTATGACTACTGAAAAAGCTGGTTGTTTCTTCTGCAGAGGATTTAAAATTAACAAGCTTTGCAGGTAAAGATTACAAGTTTGTTTCCTTGTTTAAATATTAAGGCAATTTCCACTTCATCATATCTGCTCTCTGGTTCTGACTTACTCATATTTCCTTAGTCAAATCCTGTACTCTCAGTTACCTCTTTCGATAGCTGTATCAGAATTTTAAAAGCAAAGGCTTCTCAGTCTTAGTGACTTGCGTGCTATCTACAACGCACTGCTCAGTTAATAAAGAAGTTGTAGGTGACAGCAGTTAAGGGAAAGCATTTATAATTAAGCTATTTAGAAGTAAAACCTGCTATTTAAAATATTGAAGTACAAAATGAAACAAGTAGAAAACGGAACAAAGAACCCTGTCAGGGACATAAATCTCTCCATTTGTATGGGTTGATTCTACTTGTTAGCAGTTGAGAGATGCCACAAAATTGGAATGTGTTGGTATTTCAAATATACTGTAATACAAAATCCCAGTAAGTTATTCAGGTGCAAGAAGTGAAGTTAATAACTATAGAACAGCTTACCTCCCGAGATATGATCCCTGCTCTGCGTGCTCTACTTCCCAGAACAAAAGAGAATTCACTGACTTGTGCCAGTCCTGCTGAGACAATCCACTTGATATACTGGCTGGTCTTCGGAAGAATCAGAGAAAGCACAAGCACTGCCAAGACAAACTTTAAAAATAGGGGGTTTGGGTGGTTGTTTTGGTTTCCTTTTTTTTTTTTTTTAAATATAAGAAGAGCAACAGATGAAATAGTACAATATTTGTAAGATAACACAGCATCAAATACAATCATTCTGGACGTAAACTAGTGGACTTCTAAATGCGTCTTCTGTATTAATGTCAAGAGACAAATGTACACTGCACAGTAAAAAGTGGTATCTTGTTTACTGTAATTACACTTAATAACTTTATCATAAATCCTGAGCTAAACAGATGCTTATCCATGTGTAACTTATTTTTAACATTAAACAAAATGTTTTTAATATCCTAGGAATGTTGTATCAAACTGTATTCTAGTCAGTACGATTCCTCCAAATACAGACTTAGAGTAAAGATGTAATATCCTCTGTTAAATAAGATGATCAGTTCTTGCACACAATTTTCATTAGGGCATGCAGCAAAAAGATTATTTAGACCATTAAAAGATAAAAAAAAGAGAAAAAAATTACCTTCATTATGACCACGGACAACGTAAGGAATAGCAAGACTGTGAGTTCATATATTACAAATGTGGGGAAAACATGAAGTCCTAGGAGGAAAGAAATCAATATTTCAAAGTTTAAGGCCACAATATTGCTGTGATAATTTTCTGAATTAATAATAGATTTAATTGCAAGAATGTAAAAAAAAAAAAAAAGCCCTAACACATCTACCAACACTACCTACTTAATCATTAAGGTGCTTCCTGCATTATCCAACTATTTTTCCTTTGGATGGGTTTAGCACAAACAATATTCCCAATTGAGTTAAATTATATATGACCGATGCATGAATGCTTTCAGTTATAGTTTTCTCTCTTCCACACCAGTCAACAATCCAGAATCTGAACTGAAACTCACCTCTAATGAAAGCTATGAAAATACTGCAGGGAAACAATGCCATTGTTCTGCACAGTGACTGGAACATACACTTTTAGCTGTTTAACATTTTTGTATGACATGGTAATGGACTATCACTGTGGGCGGAACATGATATTCAGTATTTGCACAGACTATAGCTACAACTGAAAATGTAATTGTTTTGATCCCATGACCCTCGCATGCAAACACTGAAAGTCACCTGAACTGGAAAAGTCACTTAGACTGGAATCAGGTTAAGTCATAAACCCCTGAGCGTGGTCTAACAATTAAGGAATTATATAAATCCCCATTGCTATGATGTTGGATTTTTTTTCTGGCAGGGGTGGGGGGTATCCGTCTTTTTTTAATTTTAATTTTATTCTTTTTTTCCCCATTTTTTGGTAATTTTTATTCGGTAATTATATGAAGCAAGATAACAAGAACCATAAAGAGCACAGAAATTTAAAACTAAATCCTGCTAATATTAAACAGAAGAAAAAGAAGTATTTGTTGGAGAAGTCCTGGAGTCACTGAGGAAGAATCTTACTCACAGCTGACTAAGTCCACTTTTTCCTCCTAGGATATGAGGAACTTCTGCATGCAAACATAACTGTGTATCTTTGGAAATTCATTCCTTTTTCATAAAAGCTCTTAAAAAGAGGAACCAAAATAGTGGTGGTGTTCCTGATACATCCATAATAGTTGGCAGTTCTCCAACCCAATTACTTCTGGTGAAGCGCAAGAGTTTCGCTTTCTAAAGCACGAGGCATGTAAATTGATGCTGTAACATCTTATTTTAACACAAGACAAGTTTTCCCTAATTTTCCCTGCCCCATAGAGCTGCAGAGCCAGAACTGTAGAGAACTAAAGAGTTGTCTTCTCTTCCCGAGTGTGCAATGTGTCACGATGCTTTGTCCATACGCACATTCCATTGTGGATGAAAACGTACTTCAAGTACATCAGATTTTTATACAATTACTCCCCAGTCAGCATGCACACACTGTTTTATTCCCTTCCAACTGCTGAAGCACAAATGCAAACAACTATCAGAATAACAGGAGAGATGGCAGAGAGAGAGAGATTCACACCACACCAAAAAAAGAAATCCTAATGTGTGCATGCATGCACACGGAGGGGCAAATAGCTTCTGGGTTTTTTTACCTTTTATCATGTGCACGTTGCTCATTTACCTTTAGGCCCATCTCAGAAACATACATGAAAAGCAATTAGAGAAATACAGCCTGTAACAATGTCATGTTTGGTAAGAGGGCCAACTCTGCCACATCTAGAATTGAAGACTTTAGAGGGAGACTATAAATACAGCCTAGTGCTCTCATCACTGCTGGCTGATCTACCTTTTCAGTTCTGGAGGTCATTTGGAACAGCCTCCCAATGTGGAGATTATGACAATATTCAAAAGAGCTGAGGGACAAACTACCACAGATTTCTGTACTAACCTGTGGAGGAAGTGTTTGCAAGGTGAAGCAAGCCTAAACCTGTTACATACACTATTCTGAGCAAACAAACATCCCAGCATACAGCCATGATTTTTGGGGAAATAAATCCCAATATAGTGGATTTCATGGTCATTACAGAACTTTGCCCCAGCCCAAGATAAAAACATAGGGTAAGGCCACAAGTCATAGCAGACTGCTGTATGATCACATGAAGCCTTCCTGACAACTCAAATGCCATCAGAAAGATTAACTTCATCAACAGAAGGTGTGTGAATATGGGCATTTATTTCAGTCATTTTAACCAGACTTTGTGACTAAGCTCAGGAGTCACTATGGACTTGTTTGTTCTCTACAATGGAAGAAAAACTCCAACCAAACATTTCAAGAACTTCAGCACCATCATCAGGTAGCATGTGGCACGTTGGCCTGTCACCAATAGCTAGGATATCACTTGCGTACATTTTCAGAGAGCTGAGCATATGCCACCAGACTTCAATTCTAAGCGGCGTTCTGGAATAACTGGAAGGGAGGCCTTGGGGTGAAGGTGACCTTGCATCAATGTCGAGCCAAAAAGCACAGTTCACTCGTAAGAGTTGGTGTGTGTTCTTCTATGGACGATTACAGGCAAGATTTTGCACATTTCTTTTTATAAGTTCTTTTTTCTTAACAGGTAAACTCCCCTCCCCCATCCCTGATTAGACAGATTTTACCAATCCAGTGCATGGCCACTGAAAAGCACATGAAGATCCAAATGCAGTCATGACCACATCCTGGAAGATCCAGCATCAAGAAAAGGAATCTTGGAGCTCCTTGATGGCAAACAAGGCTCCAGAAACCAGAATTCTGTTGGTCAAATTGAAGCCACTAGAATTAATTCTGACACATCCTCAAAACAAGACATGACACAGAAGAATCGCATTAGTGATGCATTGGGATGCTGTATCGACTAAGAGTCTTAATGAACCTAAGATCATATCTAGCAAATGCAATAAATGCTACAGCCCTGGTTAGATTAAGTAGCGAGGGGAAAAGCAACATTTATCTCCATTTTTCTGCAAAGGGGAAAGTCCTCTTGATTCTAGTGTCAGTTCTGAAAGCTTGAAATCTCCAAACTTCATTGTGTTCCATGCAGGACAACAAAGCAGTAGAGCTGGATGGATAAGGAGAAGGTGATGTACGTCCCCTAGTGAATTCCAGTTGGGGTCTTCCTTTGATTTCTCTCAAATTCAACAGAAATGTTAAGAGGCTGATCAGAGAAACATTGTGCGTATATTTGTTCTGGACAGTGGTAGTGCTGACGGCATCAGCATCACCAATCTTCTGAAGAAAAAGACCACACTGTTAAAGCATTTTCAGCATCTTGCATTCAAGGTCCAACGCTGACCACAAGATTTACCCAGAAGGGAAACACAGCCTGGCAAGTGAGGACATCTGTACAGCACATTGAGGACACACAATGTTGTCAGTCAGTGGAAGTAATCTGCCTCGTCACCACTGGCAGATAGGGTCCTGATGCCCAATTACAAACTCTATACGCCCTGGAGACTGACAAAAATATGATACTGGAGCTGGGGGGGGGAGGGGGGAGGGGGGAAGTAAAACAGTCTATGCAAAAATGCCTTCCATCTTTCTAAAAAGCAATTAAAACAAAATTGAACGATGCAGACGTGCAAAGGGAAGGATCTGAGTACTAGGTACCAAAACGGAAATGAGAAAGTTCGCTCTCAAAATGTGGTTCTAAGGGATTGGTCCAGATGTACCCTCAGAAATACTAGTGAGGACAGACTGACAGGAACTTCCTAACCTCAGCTGACAGCATAGAGAGCCAGAAAACCTGAAGAACACACACAGGCCTAAATGAATGTACAGAGGGAGAGTAACTCAAAGTACAGCTGTTAATGCCTAACTGCAAAGGTGTGTTATTCCCACAAATGCACCCATGCGCAAATTTGAAAGCAGTAGCATTACACAGGTCAAGCTAAGGGCAGGACCACTGTTACAGATACTACAAGAACAAATGCAATTCAGCTCAGCTTTTAGGCACCAGAAGGATTTCTGTAGCGAGAACAGAAAAACAGGAATTTAAGGCAAGCAAAATAGGAACTAACTTTTCCAAATGATGTACATACAGTCCCTTTTCAATTAAGTAAAATATTTCTATTTATTCCTTTATTCTAAAAGGAATGGAAATTACCTTACTGCAGCGGTATACCATCCCACCTCAGGATCTCAAGTGTTTCTGCTCTCTATAATAGGGTGTTTGCTGCATATAGCAACGAGCCTTCTCTTTAGGCAGACGGGGAGAATCCCTGTGCCCTTTATATAATTTCACATAGTAAATCTCTCTATATTTATAGAGACATATCATTTGCATGTATATATAAGTAGAGAGCAAGAAATAAGTCTTTTCTTGCTAGATTTCTTTTAAGAAGTTTAAGGAATACTTTTTATCCTGCTCAGGTCTTTTTTGCGACATCACATCACTCCTTTTTAAAACCTACCTCCTTGCAACCCCCCAGAGCTTCCTGTTAACCACAAAATTTAAAAGTAATTGAAAGTGAAGGGAGGGGATAACGTTTATTGGGGGGGATGTTTCATTTTTTTTTTGTAGGCGTTCTTAATTTTTGTATTTTTTTTTACAAGTAAGCATTGTCATATTTTGTCAGAGGCTTATAACATAGCTCATTTTTCTGATCTTTAGCTAACTTTCTTCTGAGGCAGGAAAAACAGCCCTTTTCTGTAAAACCAAACAACCTTGTTATGCAATTTGCTCTTCCTTCTTGCAATTATAATGGTAGCAACAGTTAAAAAGATTATTTTTTTTTTAAGTCTGTAACAGAACTACCAAAATAATTTCCTTACAGTATAACATCGGCTATGTGGTGTGCTGCCAGCATGCCAGCTGAGGTCTTGCTTTCCTTACAGTATAACATCTGCCAGCATGCCAGCTGAGGTCTTGCTATTTTCTTGTACTGTACCAAAGTCTTATCTCTAGTCTTAATTTCTGCAGTCACAAGAATGTAGGACAGTATTTTTGTTCAGTCCATTGTAAAATTAACTTTGGGCTTATAATTACTTGCCATACTTTGTAACCCTGATAACACTATCTGCTCCATCATCATCTTTACTCGAACACAAACAACTTACCTGTGAGCATTTAGTAATTACTCATCCAACCTTGTCAGTTATATGGGCCCAAGAGTTTTACCACAGTTTACCCCTTTCCTCCCTTCATTAAAAAATAAGTAATTCAAATATAAAAAATGTTATCTATTACTAAGCAATCTGACTGATCAGCACAGGCTATTATCATGGGCTGGGTAAAACAAAAATCAAGACTGGCAAGCGTAACTATTTCCTTCTCATTTTGACAACCATCAGAAACAATTTTAGTTTCTGTTATGAAACAATACATCTCAAAGAGGGATATAAGGAAAGGCATTAAAATTATGCTGCTGGGACTTCACTGTTGTCTGAATAAATATATGGAGATAAAACCAACAACAGACAACTTTAAAAATAAAACCAGAAGAAAAAACAAGGGTGGTCTTGAAAAAAAAAACAAAACACCAAAAAAACCCCAAACCCTATGGATTTTCTAAGTAAGACTGGTTGGAAGGAGGTTGGATTTGTGCATCGGGCCACATTCAAACCCCCTATTTTAGACCTTACAACGGCCCCCAAAATAGGACATGCATCTCCTATACAATCCACAGGGCCTGTCTCTTTATTCACTGTACCTAAGCACTTCAGTCACATGTTTCAGTTTCTTTTAGAGAAAGCATATTGGGGCATGCACAGACAGCTAGCAAACGTCGCAATTAAAAACGAAGCTACTGATAGACTGCAAATATTCCTGTTTTGGGTAACAAGCATGATGACTTACTCTGCTTGTCTTAAATATCAATGCCGCATTTCCGTTGGCATTCAGGTAGTCTTGGATATACATCTTGTTCAATTATTTTTTCCCTGCCTTGACAACACACAGATCACATTTTCCTAGCTAAAGAAACAAGATGCTATAAAAAAAATCTGTTTCCATTATCATATGCTGCTTCTAGAGAAAACCAAGCCACAAGAACCTGAAATCTACTCTACCAATTGACTCAAAATAGTAATACAATTTTAGTATAAATTACAAATATAGCCACAGTGAAGACAAACACCAAACAAACCAACACCCAAACAAAAATGTTTTTCCCTTCAAATTTCTAGTTACATGCTTTAAATAGTATGAATTCGGAATTAACGATGAAAAACTGACATTAAAATAAGAATTGAGAGTACAACACAGGAATTGCTTATGAAGATGAATGTTACATTGAAAAATATTAGCAAAGGCAAACCAATATTGTGGTCAGTTAACAGTTCAACATTTTAACCAAATAAAATCTATCTCCTCCCCCCAGTTTGTAGACACCATTTTTTTCTCCTCCCCCACATTTGTAGGTTAACAGTATTTTTAAAGTTTTCTTCGAAATTACCTATGGATGCAAAGAAAATGATGGCAAGAAAGTCACGTATTGGTTCAATACAGGACATAATCTCCTCAGAAACCATGTGACCCTGAGAAGAGATCAGAGCTCCGGCTAAGAAGCATCCCAGCTCCATTGAAACATCCAACAGCTCTGTGATCTGTCAAGGAATAACAGAGAATCTATTGCTGTTCTCTAGCCCCGAGTGACTTTATATACCATTTCATGGTGAAACTATAAAACTGTACATTATACCAAATGTAGGAAATTACTACATCTTTATGCAAGTTCAACAACAAATAGAATTCAGTATATTTCAGTGTTCCGCAGTATTGTATTTATACAAAAGACTCACAAAACCAGTTTCCCCTCCATGTTACCTCCTTCCCCACAAAAACAAAAATAAATTTCTTAATCTACATTGTAATGCTTTGTGTCACTCTTACGGATAGCATCTGATTTCACAAAACCGAGAAAGACTATAACAGCTTCGGAGTCAGGATTACATAATACATCGAGGCTGTGAAATAAAGCAGTAAGAACAGCATATTTTCCAGCTGTCAAACACAGGGAAAAAATAAAAATCAAAGCTTATAATTTCAGATAATAGTCTCAAATTCAGCAGAAGTCCCAGGCATAAATTACATTTTATTACTGTAAATTGGACTTAAATGTGCCTGTGTGCTTTACCGAACAGGGATGCATTTAGGCATGTGTAGCAAACTGCTGAAATGAAGCACGATATCCATTTGAAAGAATTCAGCTAATTCATTCTTTTTTATTATTTGAATACGGTACTAGAGGGAACAGATGAAACACATGTAAAGAGACTGAACTAAAATGAAAGCAACTGCTTCAGGCAATGCTCAGAACAGTAAAAAAAGCAAGCAGCACTTTTAGTAGGCAGAAAGCATGTTTTAAAATAATCACTTTAAAACCATGCTGCTGCAGACGGTCATCTTATTGAGAAAGGGCAATGCAATTAATATTAATAGAACATTTAAAACTGAAGACTTATTTCCATACTAATTTAGATTTAGCAACAATACACTATAGTACCTTTATGGACAACATTCATCATATCTCGAACGGTGTTACACTGTAAGGTATCAAGGTAAAACTCAAGTGACTTGTAATTAATGGAGGAGAGCGAAAGACACAATAAACAAGTCCCCAAGCTATGCATAAAATGCCACCTAAAAATAAACCCCAGACTTTTGTGTACTGAAGTATTAATGTCTGAATGCTCATCACATAATCCCATTTATGCTAACAGGCTGTAATTTATTGCAAGACATTTAAGGAAACAAATTGGTTCTGTCAACTAATGCAAATAGTTGCTGATCAGGCAAAACCAACAAAATAACATTATAATGTTACTCTCATTTTAAAACAAAAGGAATTTCAGTGCTTTTCACCACAATTAGAAATTGTAAGAGAGAAGAAGGAAATATACATGAAAGGCTTAATTTAAAATCACCAAAAGATAAATAAAAGAAACAGTTATGTATATGAAACATTTAAGTTGATCTCAATCACAATCAAGTAGTTTTAAAAGTCACCACCTCTTGAGTACAAATAAGAGCTAATACAGCCTCTTTAAATAAAGTTGGAATTATTTTTACTATTCAGCTATAATCCCCTCACATTTAAGTGTTACCAGCTATAACAGAGCTCTAGATCAAAACTTTTACAGCTAATATTTTAAGTATTCCCATGTACATGGTTAGGTTACCATGTAAGCAGGGATTTAGCATCCCTTGTGTTGGAATTGCACGATACTCTGCTGTTAGGAGAATCACTATTCAAGCAAGGAGCAATTTCAGTGTGAAAGAAACATGCTTGTTCAGAAAGCATCAGGCATAACTGGAGCAAACTGCACGTCCCTCTGGGTTTGTTCCCACAGCATAAAAACTGAATGCCATTCCTTCACTCTATGACAAGCTAAGTATGAGCTCAAGGGCCTGGTAGATAAAAAAAAAAAAGCAAATTTTGCCATTTCTTGTCTACTGTCTAGGTACTACACAGCTTCAGGTCTACAAAATCTATAGGTCACTTTACACACAGAAAAGTGTAAAGCGGATGAAAGGGCAAGAAAAGGACCAAAAATTACATTATTTTCTTAACCTCATCCCCCCTCCTCCAGTCTGTTTTTCAGATTTATACGGAGACTCCTTTTACTGTTCCCATCCTGGCTTCTGGTTGTCCAATAACATTACCAGTAAGTGGACACATTTCCTCAACTAAATCTATAGCATCAGGGCTTATTATATATTATGTGTGGGCGCGCGCACGCACACACACCAAAGAGGGTTTGTTTACTGGCAGGAAGGCATTCTCAGCAAAATTTCTTATATAAGCAAAACTTGGGAAGTATTTTGCAGTTACTATTCCCTCTCTACTTGCATCATTTTTAACGTTTTGCCTTTACCAAACAGGGCTCTAACAATTACTAATCCCTGGGCTCTGCACTGTCCTTTTCCCAATTCCTACATTACAGAAAGCTTTTTCATTCAAAATTAAATGAAAAGTTTTGTCAATTTACATGTTTTTCTCAGTACAATGCAGTTTTCAGTTCTTTTCAAAGGTCCCATTTCACTCTAATTCAGAGAGGATTGTTTTGCTTTCACTAGAATACCAGATTTTTATGCTCAAATTCTACCATGGCAATAAATAACAGAAATAAACATTACTTCTATAACGTGTTCCAGTTAAACTTCAGCCATTTGTTCAGTAGTTGTTTTGGCTATATTCTCTAATAATGTGTATCTTATTGCTCATCTTTAATCATCATAGAAGCTTAATGAATAAGGTAAGCCAGTAAAATTAAAGAAATCCCTGATGGAAATAAATGTATTAGAATTTCAGGCTTCGATAATTTAAATCTGCCCAAGAGGTGAATTCTAAGCTTGCATTTTAAGGAAGTAAAGCCTTAATGGAAATGAAAACAATTTTTAGTGAGCCTTGTAAAAACTCCATCTCAACTGTGTTTTATTAAATAATTAACTACAATATTTGAGATTACAGTCCTTCCTTAATCGTCTCTTTTTAATTGATAGAAAAGAGTTCATAAGCAGGTTATAAGCCATTGAGAAGTACTCCAGGCAAACAAGGAATGACATTCCTAATACATTGCAGGAAAAAGTATGGACATTTTCATATATAAAGTACTGCAATAACATAGCCATATTTTCTTTTCATTTTTTTGGTATGTAAAGTAAGCTTGCAATTTCCCTCCATTTGCTGCCATCATCCCAGGTCAACCATAAGGCAGTCAAACTGGAAACGACTTCTCCCCCTACCCCTAAATGTATGCACAGTCCTATAAACATGTAAATGTAACTGCTATCCGTCTTGTCAGGTTAGGTTTTATTCTTTTCCAATTCCTTCATAACATTCAGCAACTTAGTTTTAAAATATAACAAAACTGATTACTGTTGTCCTGCAGATATCTAATACAGCAATTCATTATCAGAATAGCGTTTAAAACAATTTTCCTTGTAATGTTTCTGAACATACAGAACATGAAAAAAGCAACACTACACCACCGAACATGCTGGCTGACTTATAACGTGTTCTTCAGCTCATTGTGGTATATAGCTCAACCTAAAAGTACCAGTTTGGCCATCGATACTAAATGGTCATATTTAAAACCATAAGCTAGATTTGCTCTTTATGTTGCAATTCAAGAGAACAGTTCCCCAATTTAAAAATAAAATAAAAAAAAAAAAGCAGTACCAGCCTAACTCAAAGCTTGAAAAAGAGTTGCTGAAAGTGCAATAATGACCTAATGAACCTTTATTACTGATGACAAGGTATATGATTGAAAGATGCACAACTGTGTCAGCTAGACTTCTATAGGAATGCAACTATCGCATGTTTTTATTCCTGACATAGTAGGGCATCTATACGAATTAAGATTTGTTTTCTAGAAGAATTATCCATTGAACTGTTCAACTGGACAAAACCAAATACTTTTTTGTTTTGGTTTGGTTTTTTCATATTTTTTTTTAAGTCTTCGTGCTCAAACCACAGCTTCTAGCATTACTATAATGAACGCATCGGTGTCGGTGAATATCAAGCATCTCAACTGGTTTACTGAGGTTACATGCAGTATCCTTTGTACTGTTCCCTTTGATACATTATTTATCAACTTTAAAAGGAAAACGGCTTTCACTTAAGTACACAAAATATTTGCTCCTTCACAAACACTTCCCATGCTGAAGCAGCATTCTTTTTTGCAGTACAAATCCAACACACTCAAACATATTCTCCCTCAGGTTTGTATACACACATATATTAAGTAAAGTCACATAGACAAACTCCTTGTACATTTGACACGTGATTTGGGCACAATACGCCAAATTCAGTCAGATCAGTCTACATAGGCCATATTTTTAATGAAAACAAGACTGCTTCTAGATACCATAGTATTTTATGCAACTTTTGGGGTCTGGTTGTTGTTGGTTTTTATCGAAGTTGTTCTACAAATGTTATGCCTGATTGTTAGAAAGTAAAAAGGAGAAACTAGTTTTGTTCCTTCTCTTACTAGATAGTACTCCTGTTTGGAATATGAATAGCTGTTTAGAGGGCATTTTTAACCTATACAATAGAAATCAACAAATTGTAAAGCTACACTCTCACTAACTTCTTTCTTGACCTTCTTCCTGAAGGAGGTCAGCTTTCTCTGTTGAACCTGTAATAATTAAGCAAGTACCCCTAGAAAAAAGGCACACGCACGGGAACTTTTCAGGATAATTTTTCTCAGAGGACATAACAATGTGCACATCCAGGATAATGGAGTTTCAAACCTACAACATTATGAGCGACTGTCACAGTCTCTTCTCCAGCAGAATACTTTTTCAGAGGGCTGAAACGTGAGATAGAAACAAATAGAAGGAAGATTCATAGGAAAATTAACCAAACCCAAAAGGGCTATCATAACCTATGAACCTTGAGGCATTTCTCTACTTCCTCAACTTCATCCCAAACTGTTTATCTGCCACAGAAAAATAAAAGTACTTTATAATAAAAACCATGTTGAGAATTTGCTATTGAAAAGAAACTTGTGAGCAAATGTCAATCAGCTATTATCAGTATCTCAAAACCCATCCTAAATTATTTTCAAATGCAAGAAGTAGCCCAAAATTAAAGCTGGAACCATGATTCTTTAACTGGCTGTATTAAAAGTTACCAGCAGAAGTTCGGTTGATTCACATTCAAATTTTATCTCTTCTTACTCATCTGTACTGTAATGCATGAATCATCCGTGCATTTGGGGTTTGTTTTAAAACATTTTAAAACCAATTAACTACAGAGGTACATGGACAGGTAACAACAGTAAGTGTGATGGCTTTTGTGATACTGATGCAGTAAACTACCACATGTATCAAAATGTTTTATTAATTTAAAAGATTACCGTTAACATAAGGAAGATGAATGCAGTTATTCCTAGAATGAGGATTTCTTTATTCCCTTTGCTTTCTGCATGCAACTTGCGATAATACGGTCCTATGAGATAAGTCTTTATAACAAGACATATAAGAAAAACGGCAGCCAGAGAAAAGAGGATTTGGCCAATCAGTATCAGTATTCTCAGTATTTCCTTGAAAATGCTGGAAGAGAAGAACAAACAAAACATTTCTTTCAAGTGCTCTCATGACTCCCAACCAGTTCCCCTTAAGTGAAAAGATCTAATTCCACAGATGTCCAAAACTGAGTAGCTACAGTAAGATATTTAGATACGTTAGTAAACAAGATGAATACTAAATCTTCTGAGTGCCCATCAATCTCTTCTACAGCCTAGAATTTACTTCCATGTTGATTGAAAAAGATTTTTTTGATTGATTTTCAAGGTAAGCCATCAGGCTCAATAATGCTACCACATAGTATTTGACAAAATATGTCTTGAGGGAATAAAGTAATTGAAGAAATTAGCTTGGTTGTTTTTTTTTTGTTTGTTTTTTTTTGGTTTTTTTTGTTTTTTTGTTTTTTACAATAACAAACTTTTCACTCCAAATTTTAGTACTGGACAGGACTAAGGCAACTAGAACAGGAAGAATATCCTCACACAACATGACAAGTACAAATAATAAAGGGAACTCACAGAACAGAGTGCATATTTTTCACAGAACTGACATTAACTCTAGCACTCATATTCATATATGCAGTCTACATACTAATTAGAAGGGGGAGGGGGAGGGAAGATAACATACAATAATTTTTTTTACCTGGAATATGTGCTTGCTCCTGCTTGAATAAGCGTAGGCATGACAGCTATAAATAAACCCAGCTGCACATCCTGCATCACCAACATGCCAAGTAGTACGCTACTGTAGTCAATATCCCCTGCACACCAACAAAGCAGTCATGGAAACATCCATCAGAACCTATGAATGCTTGCAGTGCTCAGAAGTCTAGAAATGTTTTCATCAAATGGAGGCTAAGTATAGTTCTCGTTCAAAGCATTCTGTGCCCCCCCCCCCCTTAAGTAAATTAAAATATGTAAAAACAAAGATATATTTAAACTATTAATAAAATATTCATATGAAGCTTCTGTTACACAATAAAAACATAGACTTTGCTTAGCAGTTAAGCACTAGTTACACATTTACTGGAACTCCTTTACGGAAAACATCCAGTCTTTAGAATAGCGGACACGTGTAAGAGCCAGCATGTGTAAAACATACACTTTGAATTTAGGCATTAGAAGATGAATATTCTAGGGGATGGGGAGAACGTCAGTGCAGTATGTATGAGGGAGGTTTAAGTGGAAGAAAGCAGCATGGCAAAACTTTTGAACGGAAATATTTAGAAGTCTTTGAGAAGCTAGCAATATGGCACTTCAAGGTACTTATTTGAAGGGCTGTTAGCTATGAAAGACTACTTGAGCTGGTCTTAGTTTGCTGAAGAAGGATGTGAATTATTTAAGTTAGCCTTTCTGCCCTAATGACAGACTGGTAGTAACGGTCTAACCTGGTAACCTCTTAAAAAGCACAAGGATTCCAGACCCTCAGTGAAGTAAATTCTTAACATGGAGAGTACTGATTGGGCTACACTGTGTTTCTCCAGAGGACTGGCTATGTAAATAGCAGGCACACCTCGTAACAAGAATACACACAATGCTGGCCAGTGTTAAAGGAGGATGATCGCTTGTAAATCAAACTTAACAGTGGTTTTTGTTTTGTTTCATTTTTTAACTAGTTTCTCTTGTAATATTACAAAGTCAACTTCTTTCAAATTTGATTGTAGATGCTACAGTAGTCCATATTTAAAATTGTACTTACCTTCTTTATCGCCTCGAACACTACCTGCAAGAAATCTTGACACCAATGGTGTACTTGATAAAGATAAACAAGTGGAAATGAAGACACTTTGTGTTGGTCTAATTTGGAGCAAGTGTCCCCATAGTAAACCAAATGCAATCATCAGAACCGTCATGTAGCAGGGTCCTTGCAAAGATATTTTCCATACCTTGGGAAGAACACAAGTCCGTATGATAAAGTCTCAGTGATAACTAACAGTGATTTTAGTGCAAAGAAGCAGTTAAAGATGCATGATTTGAGGCTGCAGTGCTGGGCCACAGAAGTAATGGACTGTCATCCTATACATCCTAAAACTCTTAAGTTATTATGCCTAGTAGATAATAATCTGTACCAGAAGGCTCATTACCAGAAATTAGGTAAATTTCCCAAAGCTCACAGCCAAATTAAGGGCCAAAAGGTCCAGGATGGGATGAAATACATTAAAATCATCAAATGGAAGATCAGTTATCTGATGTGATTCCCGTGTGGGGGAAAAAAATGGGAGTGGCAAAGACCATCATCAATACCAGCAGCTCGTTCCACACTAGTGAGCACACAGTTCTGAAGTAACAATTTATATAGTACAGTTTAGGAACCCTTAATTACTGATTTTTATCTTTGACTTTAGATGGACTAAAAATAGCAGAGTAAGCTGAGTGCTCATAAATTTTAACACATTTCAATTAAAGCTTTTATAATCTCATGAACTCAGAGTCATCAGTTTAGGAAAAATCACACAACGCAACTCTCTACATACATACACAAATCACACAATGCAACTCTTTACATACATACAGTCTTTACATATTTTGCAGCAGTATTTTCCACTATTAAAATTCTAGCTGGTTTATAACTTTTTTTTTTTTAATTAAGACCAAAAGAAACTTGTACCTTTTTGCTGAATCCTGATGGCCACCATCATGTAATATTCCAGATTGTGCTAACATACTTGCAGAATCAGTTTATTAGCCAGTACAGCATGTATCATCAATTCAGTATGCAGTACTTAACAAACTGATTTTTTTTTATAACAGGACTGGCAAACATCACTGGACACTCCATAACAGCAACTGCATGTTACTGCATGTTAAAATAAAGCAGAGATGGATTGCCATAAATTGTGTGAGATTTTTCTAGTAATCCAACTGTTTTACTAAAATGAAGAGAAATAGCAAGGTTTTTTTGGAGACACCAAATAAACAATGCATTCTGTTCTTTCCAAAGAGTTAAAGAGAAGAAGCAAATGTCATATTTGCCTTTTCAAAAATGTATAGTTACACCAGTACATTATAGGGATAATGTAAAAATCTGACATAGAAATGATAACTTGAACATTAGCAATTAAATCCTGTAATGTAGAGGTATTATATAAAAATACCTTTCTTAATCTTTCAGGAGAAAATTCCAGGCCAACTAGAAAGAGAGTGAAGAATACACCAAACTCTCCTAATGTCTCCACCTGTACAATAGACTTTAAAAAAACAATAAAATAAAAATCAGTCCACAGCAGTCTACTTATAATACAAATTACAAGTCTACTTATAAATCAAATTGTTTCTCATTATGTTTCCACAGGTAGTTCACTTGCTGGTCATATGACATCAGAAGTTCCCTCAGCATCTTTAGGGTTCAAACATTTTTCCCATGCCCTGGCTGCTACTAGATAATTTGGTTGGATAGGGCTGGTCACCCAAAACGCACATGTGCATTGATGTAGGTAAGCTTGCTTGCTTTTTGAAAATAAATAGGTTAAAGTTTTATGCATATGCTATTAAACCCCCAAGGCTTGCATTCCGGAAGTTACTTCTGGCTAGTTATTTTATTGGTCTATTGGTATAATGATCCTGCTACAGTGTAGTTACTGTTCTGCTCTCCATCCTATAGACTCCGTGCATCCATCTCTCAGACCAGTACAACTACCAGCCCTTCCACTTCAGAGAAGGGTGCAACAGCAAGAAAAGTGGTTGTCTTTCTTGTCACCACAGAAAAAACTAGTATTTCTATGTATTTCCACTCCAGAGCAGAAGAGGACAGGGTCTATCATCAATCATAGAGAAGTGGAGATGGAAACTATTTTCCCTGCCAGATTAGAATCTGTCTGCCTCCTAAATTCCTCTGACATTCAACTTTTTTATGAAATACAGAAGAGACAAAAGGAAAGAGTAGACACAAGAGACCCAGTCAAAATGAACATTATCCAGATGAATAAAGTTTAATCACAGCTCCACAAGAAACAAGGAGCTCACTAAGAAACTGTTCTAAAGAAACTACCCTCATCTCCATTCTGACCACATCATCTTCCTAAGTGTAAGCCTCTGAAAATTCGTTGTTGAATCTCCTTTCAAAGCCAAGCTTACAAACTTGTTTCTCAGTCTAAGTGGTCAAGCTTTCCAGACCTTCTCAATCCAGAAGTTATGTATGACAGAAAGTTTATTATTTAGTCTCCATTTTAGAATACAAAATTTTGGAAGTGTAGTATTTGTAGCCTTCTCTTCCAATATGAGATGGATAACATCCTACAACTTCTACTCATCCCTACTTAGTTTTGAGCCCAGCAGTCATTTTCAACGAAAGTCCACGTAAGACCAGAGGTTGCAAAGACAGTAAGTTCCAAGCAGTTATGTGGATATCAACATAATAGACACGTGTAACTTAATTGGACATTACCATGAAACCTTAACATGTGTTCTGTTTTGCCTGCTGGCTAAACAATCTGTTAATGCACACCAGACCACTAATCAAAACATGTGCAACGTCTAGCCAACCACAGCCCACGGTTTCGCATTGAGCTATTAATCAGGGTACACGTGATGGAGCTAAAAAGGTTCAAGAGACTTGAGGAATGTGGGCAGGGGACTGGAAAAGAACTAGGGGGACGAGGATGGATGAAAGAGCTACAGAGATGCAAAATAAAAATAAGCCTCTAGGAAGCCAGGCTACGCTACTCAGGGAACTACTTGTTTTAAACACTTCCTCCACTGCCAACACTGGCTTTTTGCAAGTTTCTGAATATTTGATGTCATTTAAATAATTTGGCTCTCAAATGTGATGCTTTATGATTAAAGACAAAAAGAAACAAACAAACAAAAAAAACCCCACAACACACGACCTTCAGCTTTCACCTTCAACAATTGTTTATGTCATTATTATACAGGAGAAAAAATTGAAAACAAAGTGATTCAAAGGCATAAAATTTTAAGGCCTCATTTTGCAAAGGTCAAGGTTTGGGGATTTTTATTTATTTTTAAAGATGTCTGAAGTTAGCAATCTTTAAAAACTACTTTTAAAGATTGAAATTAAATCAGTCAAGAAGCAACTTGCACACTTACCTTGATACTGTTTAGTCCTGATGGTCCTAAGAGTACTCCACAGATGATATACCCAAACATGGTTGGCAATCCTATTGTTGTACACAGCCAGCCACACGGCAAAGACAACATTCCTATTGTCACAATATCCTGAATATGTAAGATTTACAAGTACATTAATATAAAGGACACACAAATTTGTGATTAAAGACTATTATCTTTCAAAATATAAATAGCACTGTAAAATTAAATGTAGAATTACTGCCTGTGAAAAGAAAACACAACTTCAGTAAACTAACCGGAATATTTTGTAGTAGGTGTAAGCACTGCAGTTTTGCAAAGGAGATGTGGTACTGACCTTGAGTAACTGGTAGCTTTGGAGGCTTTTGATCAATTCATTAAATATTTTAAATACATTATAGGAAGTAGACAGTTTCCTGGGGAAGGGGGGGGGGGGGGGGGGGTGACACTTTGCATTAAAACAAAATGGTGAAACAGATCCATTTTTGGGGGTGGGTTTGGGTTTTTTTTGTTGTTGTTTGTTTTTTAAAAAACCCAACCTAATCTAGTTATTCTTCATTAAGCACAAATACAATTATAAACATGTCCATGTATTTTCCAGCATCCCTTTTTTCACAACAAGGCATAAACGAATAAATTCCCTCTAGTGACAATACGGCAGTAGCTTGCTTTAACACCGTGCAGTCCGAGAGAAGGGATGCTGCCTCAAAGGTGCAACAAGTCAAACCAAATAAAAACAGAGAGGATTCATGCAGCATTGCAAACAGTCTTGTGAAGACTGTACTAGGAGTAGGGAACACATTGGTCAGATCACCAGTAGATGGGGGAATCATGAATGGGGACAAATGCTGAAACTATATTCAATCCAATCAAACCGTACTGGCACGCAAACTACTGGGACTAAATCTTACCAAAATGAATGTCAAGAATGTCTCCAAAATTATTACCTTTATGAAATGATGATCAGCCCGAGGAATGGTTGAATCTCTGGGCTTGGTAAGTATATACTGATTGTTCTGGGAATCAATAAGCATACTAAGACCTAAGTCATCCTCTACTTCTCTTTTTGAAGCATTTCTTTTGGAGTTGGCTTCATCTTCTTCCACCCTTAAAACCGCTTCAAAGTTAACACCTCTTACCTGTAAGAAAAAGAATGCAAATAACAAAAATAGGGGGGAAGTGGGCAACGAAGCATACAGTAAAAAGTGAAAGACTATCAGCTGTGCTTGAAGTTGCTCCAGCATTTGTTGACAGACTAAAAATATTGCAGTTTACTGCAGTTTCTTCATATAGAAGTCTTTCAGTCTCTTCATCAAAATTTTATGTCTATGACTGAAAAGGCTATAATTTGGTTTACACTTTAAAAACAAGGGGTTTTTCAGCCAAGTTTTCCAACCAAAAAATACAGAGACAGGGTTTCAAAGCTGTGTAATTCCAATTCAGTATTTTCAATTGCACCCAATCTGATTGATTTTTTTTAAAAAGCTTTATCACATTTAGAACACAAAAGGTTGGATTGAAATGTAACATATTATTCCCTTGAACAAAAACAATTAGAGATTACAAAGTGATTTTGAGTTCACAAAAATCTAAAGTAACAACTGCAATCCAAGTCAAGAAAAAGTCACTGTCCTGTAAATTTGAAGGAGAGAGGGTAAGAACTGTTTCTACCTGGCTCCATTTTTAGCGCCTGTAATTACAAAGTGGAGGACAAAAAGATGATTTCATTATTCACTGTATTTCAAGTAATGCAGATCTTACCACTATTCAGCAACAGTTAAGGTTGTTACTTCTTTTAGACTCCAGTAAAGAGAGTAGGCTGTTATCATTCCAACGACTGACTACAAAACATTCAGCTTTTCTGGATTGCCATATTTTGCCCAAGCAACTCCCTAATTTAATGATGAAATGCATTCACATAAGTCATCTATAAAACAGCCTCCAATTTTCCTTTGCTGATTCCCCAGCACATTTCCCCGAACTGTTCAGATAAATATTGCATTTTCAATATTTAACCTGCAATTTTTATCCTTTTCTTCCACTCCTTACATTTGGGGGGTGTCTGTATGTATAATTAAATAAAAACTTTTATCATAGGAATGACCTCTTCCTCTGCTTTTGTACATCATACAATATGACAGGCCTCTAAAGAATTGGAAGTCACTAAGAATCAGAGGGGGAAAAAGGAAATATGATACAAATGATGAAGTTCGCAAAATTATTTCGAAGCATAAAACAGCTGATTCAAACAAGCATTTTTAGCTGTTGGAGTGAGAAGCTGATGACCATTTTCTTTTTATGCATTATGAAAGTTTGCCTTTTCACCCTTTTTTTTCACCAAAAGCCTGTCTTTTTGTATATATTTTGCCTTTACTTCTCTAAGCCCCCCACTTACCAGGCTATTTTGCATTCCAGAATGAGGCGTCCATTGCCAAGTGTAAGAGACCAAACCATGTTTCCACGCTTTCAGCTGATGGGAGAAAGCAGGAACTGCTGCATGCCATGTACATGCAAACTGTTCTCTCAGTACTGGCGCAAAGAAGAAAGGCTTCCCTACAGTCAGCAAACACGAAGAACTGTTTCTAATCAGAACAGTCAGTAAGTGCCCAATCCTACTGTTTTTCTGTCGTCTTTGCTGCTGACCCCTTCTCCCACACCCTCATTGCTACTCCAGGGATACTAAAAGAGAGCTAAGAGCTTACTGTTAAATGTTGGCTCTGCAATATAAAACAGACTTTACACTGACTTTCACACTGGAATTATTTCACTGTTCAGTGCAGCGTCCCCATCTTGCAAATGACTATTACTTTGCCTAAAAACCAAAATGCTAGTAAGCCAACATCTGTTAAAGTATCTTATTGGGAACTTAATGTTATGACATCGACAATAGTGTTTACTAAGCAAAATTATCTTATAAAATATATCACCGGTGAAGCATGTACTTTGAAGCTCTGGAACTCCAAATTCCTATAGAGTTTGTTATATGTTCCTTTGTACTTGGTAGCTTGTGTGTCTGGAATCTAACCAAACTTCTCTGCATCAAAATTAAAAATGTAGCAAAGATCATATAAAAGCAATGCAATTGGATAAACACATTCCTCATCTCGTGGAGTTCAATCTTGCTCAGAAACAATATTAGGAAAAAAGGGAAGATGTTTATAAGATTAGGACAAATATGAATAACAACCTGTTTTTGTCTGTGTAACATAAAAATCATACATTGTGTGGATCTTATGGTGCATTTTTAATTTTACAAAAGAAAAGGGAACTGACAAAAGACAGACTATGCCAGAAGAGCAAGAGTAGATGGCACAGGTTCAGACGAGCTTTGAAATACTAATAAATTTGAGGACATAATGAAAGAAAACAGTTATTTTCAGGATTTTATTTCCTAAAGCAACAATTTCTGAAAGCAGGTTCTACATAACAGAATACAATACGCAAATACTCTTGCATTAAGTGGTTAGCTCAGATTCTTTTTTTTTTTTTCCCATTTTTACCTACTACACTTCTCTATTTGATCATATTTTAACAGACAATTTTATATCTTTATCAGATTACTGATCATTCTATTTGAGCTTCTTTGTTCTAATGGTCGGGTGTTAAGAGAAAACACACTGGATGTTTCTTGCAAAGATGGAGACTGCAATCCAGGTTGCATTTCATGATCCCTTTTCTTTCACGAATAGAGATACAAGGAGAAAACCAAAAGATAGACACTGGAGAAGAAAGATGGGTTGGCATGTTGCCAATTAACAGGTGTAGCAGAAGAAACCTCATTCCTGGTCTCTTTAAAACGTGCCGTCATTCCCCAGCGGAACAGAAGAGGGCACTCCAGCTAGCTCATCCCTTCCCTGCTACTGGTCCTGCCTAGGTAGGATTCCCGCTGGCTACAATTGCTGCGATCTGGCATATAGAAAACAAAAAGCTGCTTTCACTTTCTCTCAAGACAAGTACAGCTACAAAAAAATGGTCTGGCTCTCTACTATAGAGCAACTGCTTTTCCTCCTCAGCAGAATTCAAGAACTATGCTCGCCTCGGAAGTCAACCTGCACATCAACAAAAGCCTTTCAAGAGCTAAGGCCAAAAAGATTTGCAACCTGCGTTTACGCAAACAGGACCAATTTAGCGAGTCAGCCTCTGAGGATGGCACAATGGGACACTAGAATAAACTGATGTATTCCCAGCTCCAAACACACACAGCCTTACCTGGGGGATACTGTCCATCATGCAGCACAGAAACGATGAACAATGCAAACAGGTGAAAGGTACGAAAAGCAGAGGAAGTCAAAAGTGGAAGAAAGCAACACCACAAACACATTTCAGGTCCTTACCTTGAACAATATATCTTTTCCGAGACTCTGAAAACTAACTGCAAGGATTCTTGTTCTCCCATAACTTTCTCAACAAAATGAAAAAGAAAAAAGTGGAGACTACACTTAACGTGGTAACTCCATACCCTGCAAAGTCTAAATATCACAGCCCCCCACCACCACCACTGAGATGTAACTCTCATGGGCTGTATCAGTGAGATGGACTATACTTGTCAGTGTTAAAGTGGCAGCTGCAGGGAGGACTGGCAAATCAAAACCACAGAAAACACTAGCAAAAAGCAGTAATTATTCCTGCTTGCTCACTCCTAACAAGCAATCATTTTACCACTAAATACTTTCTGCTGTTGAAAAGGAAGCAAGAACAAATGTAGAGCCGAAAGCTTTTTGTTTTGTTTTGTTGGTTTTTTTTTAAAGTAGTCGCTAAAATCCTAACCACTATTTAACACAGGAGAAACACCCCTACAGCGCACATATCAACTAAAAAATAAATGCACACCAATTAAAAGACTGAGTCTAAAACATCACTTACAGATTTGTTGTCATCAAAGGCATGCTCTTCTATTTCCTCTTCCAATCTATCAGCTGCCTTCCTGACATCTTCTAGAATTTCATCAAGCATCGACAGGCTTTTGTTTTGATGCTGCATGTTCTTAAGGGCTTCAACCTGATGTTTTTCCGCTGCTAAGAGTTCAACATATTCCATTTCTTCCTGTTGAATTTTACAACACACAGATAAAGAGCTGGCCAGGCCTTCAAGCAGAAAAACATTCGACATAAATGCACATTTCTTTTGACACAAAACATTTTACGAGTGGAACTGCAAAAGCAATATAGACTTTATAATGGTATTTGAAGATTGCTTTCTCTTGTGCCAATTTTCATCAGTCAAGAAAAACAACAACCAAACAAAATACCCACCAATTGCCTTTTCTAATCCATTAAACAGCAGAGCTGGCCCAAGGTTATGATCCAGAAAATACAAGAAAGGAATTACTTTGAGGAACTAGGAAACATTTCAGAGACAAGTAAAGTTTAGGGCTCAGTGCTTTAGCAGGGAAGCGTAATAACCTTGAAAGCACAGCTTTACTAGCTACAACAAACAAACAAATTGGAAGGAAAACACAATGAATCTTAATTTTCTAAGCCATTTTATAAACATGGGAAGAGGTCTGTTTATGGTTTTCAAAATTTATAACAACTGTGGAAACGGCTACAAAAAAATAAAAGCAGTTGGGAGAGAGTACAGATGAGCAGTCAAGCACTCCAGCTGAGGTTCCTGCTCATGTTTCCCAAGAAGCATTTTTCCTATTAGAAGTAAAATACTTGACTTTGTCCATCTTTTCAGTTTGGGCCTCTTATGAACTTGCACTAATGACGTCCGAAATCCATTTCTAGGCTTCAGAAGTAAGAAAAGAAAAAATGCTGATGTGGTTTGATATGGTGTAAAAATATTTCAGTAGCTTCCCCGATAAAGTTATGATATTTTGTTTCTCTTTGGATGTTTCAGGTTCAAAAAGAAAACGGGAAAAGTAAGTTTAGTTACTGATCAAGACTGGACTTAACACTGCACCTTCTAAATAGTTACCAAGACATACCAAACATAATATTTTGTGTACTGACAGAGTATAATTCAAGATTTTTTGCAAAAAAGGTAAGATGCTTCACTTTACATCCCTACATTCTTTTAAAGATGCACTGGTTGACAGAGAGGACAACTATGAATGAGGACACATATGCAATGGCAGGCTTCTTCCTTTCAGTTAGATTCAGGATGCTGAGAATATTTAGATGAGAAAGACCCTACATCTGTTCTTTAAGAGAGCCTACATAATTACCAAGGGAAAAAACAGACCAGGCAAAAAGTATAAGCAATCTCTAGGTCAGACTGAATTCCCAGAAAACACAAGTTTCTGTCTCCATTTTAGATGCCCTGCCATATCCGGTTAGAAATCAGACATCAGAATCAGAACATAAGTCTCCCTTAGGTTGCACGTTTTATCTGCCTACCATACACAGGTATCTTGGATAATCCCAGCATCTAAAATGGTCCTAAACTCCTATGTTTAAGTAACTGGAGTGTCCCCTCCCTCCACATGTTTGCAGATGGACATTTTTCCCCTTGAAACCTGCAAGAACATGCATATAATTTAATCAATTCTTCGATGCCAAGATGATAGTATGTTCAGTACAGCCTGTAACTGTAGCTTAACCCCTTTTAAAATCCTCACAGTCAGACGAATACTTCTGGTTGTGATGAAACCACAGACATTCTGGCTCCTGTTTGTTGGTGTTTAGAATTACCATAGTTACACTGGCACGATGAAAATTACCCAGTGCCCAAAATAACTGGAGTTGGGAAAAAACGTAACTATTAATGTGCTTGGCCCCATGTCAACTGCTTTAGTTCTTATGCAACATGTAAGCAAGAGACACAGTCACTCTCATACAGCCGTAAGGAAAAACATCTCTGTTGTTCTCTGTTAGCAGACGTCGCTTAAAAGATGTAAAAAACAGCCCCCGTATGAGCTGGAGATTCTTTCCTCAGACAGCAACAACTTAGAACATGAGACGGAGTTGATAAGGGTCAGATTCTTTCCCCTCAAAAATGGAACAGGTTTTGGGTGGAGGGAGCTGATCAGTCCTTTTTGTGGCCTAAGACAAACTGGTTGAACAGTTAGAGGTAAACTGCAGAAAAATAAATAAGGCTCTAATTTGCAAGAAGTTAACCTTCTCTGAATAGCAAGGTAAAAAGAGCTCTGAAAAATCTTGAGTTTAGCTCTAAGTTCCTTTAATTAACTTAGACAAAAGTTTTTGTAGTCTGTTAAAGTGGCATCTCTCTTTTCACCCACAGACCAGTGTCATGGCAGCAGAGTGGGACAATCACAGAGAATGGTGTTGGTGGAAAGGACAAGCTCTCAAACAGTCTGCTACATGTTAAGCAGAAGTGCATCACAGTACCAACACCGCTCTGCAACTCATGCTGGGATTGGAGACACCTGACCACAAGTCACACATAAACAATCTTTTAAGCAAGGTATTACAGAAAAGGATTGTGCTGCACTGAACAGGAGACTGGAATGCCCAGAATCACATGAGCAAAATGAAGTAAGATTAAGTAAGACTTTGGGGCAATGCTGGTTAAGAACACAGCACTGCTGTTGCTCTCTCCTGTTTAATCATACCAAAAACAAAACAAAAACAAAAAAAAAAGCACATTCAGAGGAGGATGCATCTTTGCACTACTTGTGAGTGATTTTTTCCATCACTACCTGAGCAGTAGGCACCCAAGAAATTAGAAGCTGATCACAAGTAGGTAAGATTTTGTTCCTTTTTGCTGAACCTCCACGCAGGTCCCTGGAGCAAATGAAGGCAGGAGCTATCTTCAGCGTTTCTTCCTTCCTGCCACCCCGCCATGAATGATTCCACTGTACTTTTTCCCAGCAGCAGAACCAGCAAGAAATGCATAAGACATGCATACATATCCCAACCCTAAAGACTTCCAAATACTTCAACTCAACAGAAATAAAATGAAGGGAAGAGTCCACCACCCTCTATAGTCATTTGTATTTCCCATTCAATAACTGTTTAAAAAATGGAAAGGATGTCTTATAAGTACACCAATGTCCTGGTTTGAGCAATGCAGGATTAATTACTCTTTCAGTAATTTTACTTTTCAGTAAGGTCTCTTCTAATGCTAGGGAAAACTGCTCTTTTAGAAGACTATTGTCTGAATTTGTGAAAATATTTACTTTGTAGCCAGCTATGGTATGTGGATTTCAAGGTCTCAGTGTTTTCGAGCTCGCCAGGTGCAGGGACCACGAGGAGTGAGAGCCGGGCACTTGACCCAAGCTGGCCAACAGGATTATTTCATACCACGAACATCACATTCAATACAAATTAGAAAGTTTGCTGAGGAGTTTTCTCTTCCATGATGGCTGCCATCCTGAGCCTTCTTGCCCCAGTGCCGGACCCCTGAGGCTTTCCCTTCCTCCCGAAGCTGTCACATTCGCAATGTCCAACATTTGCTGTCCACTGCTGGGAGTGAATGGCTTCCTACTCATAGAATCAGCTGAGTATAAGCCTTGTATATTTTATATCGATATCAGGATCAATATTGGTTCTTTCATATTATTAACGTAATTATTTAGTCTTATTCTTCTAAATCTGTTTACATTTCAACCCTCAGGTTTCCCTTGTATTTTCCCAATTCCCCTTCACAGGTGGGGAGGGGTCATCAGGTGATAGAATAGTTGTCTAAATGACAATAAACTGTTATGGGTTCTTCAAACCATAACAATCAACAAAATGATCACAGTAAAATGAAACTGGAACAAAATTGGACCTCATGTGTGTCTTCTGAAGTAATGTATCCTATATAATTTTCATCTTTTTGGCATGCGTTATCTTTTGTTTTATTTTACATAACAATCATAAGGTTAGAACAACAAATACTCTGTTTAAATAATCATGCGCATGACATAAGAAGGAAGGGTGTAAAAGATTGCTTGTTCAAGTAAATATCTTGATATGATAATACAAAAAAGGCCTGCATGAAGTAAAGTTTTGACAGGACACACCTAAAACACATCATTATACACACAGGCCTTCTTTTATGAGAAAAATGAGGAAGTACCATTTTCAAGTTCAAGGATATATTAGTTCAGTATTTTACAGTAATGTTGCCAAGAATTAGGTAAATGAGAAAGAAGATTCTGGACAGCTTCACCGCTGCTATTTTAAGAGCTCTGAGGAAAAAAAATGTGGAAAATCAAGTAATTTTCATTACAATTGCTACCCTTTCTATGCAACAGAGGCTGGCACTACCATTAAGTGCCAATATCAAAGTCATATTGAGCACTTCATTAGAACACACCTAGATCCAAGCTACTCCCTACCCAAATTTGTCATAATTCAGTCTTTGTTTTCACTGCACAGACCACTCCAGTCTCCCTAGTCTGCAGCGCAGCTTCTACATCCATCAGCCTTTCTTGCTGCAATTCGCTGCACACATACAATCTCTTGCCATCTTCACCTGTTAGGATATGCACATCTCTTATACAAATGCCCTTTAGAGATTCTTCCAGCTTAGATGCTATATCCCAATTACTTTTATTTTCCTTCTCTTACTCCCTTGCACAAGGGCAGACGCTTCATTTAGAAGGCAGAAAACAAAGAAAATGTGTAATATATTCCTCCAGTGGCTGAGGGGTAGAGCAAAGAAAAGAGCAATTTAAATACCAAATCAAATTAAACGATATTTTCTCTCAATGGGAGACTTTCAGTACGCAGTCTGAGCACTACCAAGTCCAGTAGACAATGGCAGCTTGTGCATACCCTAACAGGTCTGCATTGATATGGGAACTCAAATTTTCCATTAAGTACTTGTGCTCAACTGTTACTCATCTGTGGTTTTCTTGGTAAAGTTATCTCAGCCAGCTCTTTCCTTAAAGCGCTGTTTTTCAAACCTGCACTTCTTAGGCTAGGAGTGCTATACTGAGATTACTAGATTTTTAATCTCACACATTTGCATGTCCATTTTACCACATCTATACAAATATGGAAATAAAAGGCATGAAGTCATTCTGTTTAAACCATAGATTTTGGTTGAGCAATTATCATTTAAAGTGGAAAAATCAGTTAGTATTTTGCCAATTTACGCCATTGTGTCCACTCTGATAATCCCACTGCCTTATCTCGTGCAAGTATGCTGTGTGTACTGACTCACTTCTTGTATTCCTTTCCCTTTAACATAATATTTGCCATAGGTCTTATGATTATGCTTTGCTTTGTTTTGAAATAAAACTTACTAGCAGTCAATAGTTCTTAAGCTCTACACCAGAATTACTTCTAATTTTACTAATGAGAACAAATACTTCATTCAAAATCCGTTTTAAACAGCAAAACATTGCAAGTTTCATGTAGGTACACTTCTTTATTAAAACAGATTGAAACCATGCCATAATAAAATTAAAAACACAAGTAGAACATTAATACTCTAGTAATAACCATGGGGTAACTAACCTTAATTGCAGCTTCCCTCAAGGCTTCTAGTCTCTGTCTGCTGCTTTCTTTCATATTTACAACATCTTTGTAATCACCCTGTAGAGCTCTCTGGAGGCCGTGGATTGCTTGAAAGACCGAATTTTCACTCTCATTTAGCTCCTTTTGGAAAATTTCAAAGGTATGCACCTGAAAAAGTTTCTCTTCATCTGACAGTCCTGCATCTTTCTCAACTGCTCTTATAGCATTTTTTAGTTTGTTGAGAACAACGTTCTTTTGGCGAAGAAGACCAGAGAGTTTTCTGCAGCTCTCCAACACCCACTGCTTTCTCTGAGCAATAACAGCTCCTTTCCCACGGTGCAGCTTTATTGCATGCTTTACTACATCTTCATGTTCTGCAGGATTTGCTAACTGGCCACAAGGCAGTGAAACCAACGTCCATAGGGAAATAAATCCAGTTGCCTTCATTCTTCACTTTTTATTGCTGTTGGGAGAAACTGATAATCCACAACTGCTCAAAGCTTTCTGCTACATGGTTTCTGCACCTCCAGTACGCGTACCATGCTGCAAGACAGTACCAATCAGTTATCAAACATGATAATGTTGAGCCATTAGGTCAAACAAATGTAGAAAACAAACCTAAGACTGCATCCTATACTATAATCTTTAACAGAATGTAGATGGTCCCCTTCAGTCAACAGTTATCAAAAGCAAGAAACAGCCCAAGGTTATTGATACCTTTTTGTTTTCCCCTTGACTATTTTCTAGATATCACATTGTTTTAAAAATACTGAATGGAAAGCTTAGTCATTTCTCATGGTAGTCACCTGCACTTCTTACCCAAGAGAAAAGCCATTAAAAATATTAAGCCACAATGCCATAGACTGTACTTCAGCCTAGCACCAGAACTTATTCTTATCTATCAGACAACTCCTTGTATTTTTTCAAACATATCCTAAAAAAATTGCATCATAATCATTTGTTATTTATACAGCCTCAGAAGGATTAACGCACTCAACTATACAAAACATAACGAAAAAAAGCTAAACTAAACCAGATTGCACTATAAATTGTATTTGCAAAAGAAACATTTCTACAGTAAAGAAATAACAGCAAAACTTCCTGGACTTCTGACCACCACTAGTCTGTATTGAAGATCTTCACCTGAAAGGTTGCACAGCCTTGAGGCACTTTACTTCAAAGCTAATTATTGATCCTCATTATTTTAAAATAGAGTTATAAGAACGCTAAAAGCAAAATCAATTCATTCATAAGTTCATTTCCCAGAAGCTACTTGAAGATCTATATTTAAACTGCTGTATTTGCTTTTAACACCAAACAGGACAGAATTTCAAAACTAAGAATAAATTTCCTTCTCCCAAATCCTACAGGAAAATACTGACATTACTGTAAAATAACAAAAAAACACAAGAAAAACACCACACCACAAAGCTATACATAACAATGTATAAATGTGTGTACAAAACAAACATTTATCACTGAGGCACAAGCATTCTAAAAACACACAACACACACTACATGTTAGCAGATCATCAGTAGAGCAGGTATCTGCCTAAAACTTGAGGTGCAATCTTGATCTCTGAGCCAACGGCCTTAATCAGGAGCCAACATACCGACACAGTCATCTGGAAGCAGTCTGCACAAGAGAAAAACAACTACAATGCAGTAGCAGTCGCATCACAAGTATCCAAGCCAGCCATCATCAATACACAGAATGGGGAGGGAAGATGGCAAGCACAGCCACGCACTACTTTTGGTTTTAAAATGCCCTCCCATCTCTGTTTCAGAAAGAACTGAGAAAACCTGTCTGTGGGTTGGTTTATTTCTTTTCAATGCAAGAAATACAAGCTATTTAGCTATCAATAGCTGACTACGGGCTACGGTTTAACAACGTGAAACATTTAAAATTAAGAACTGAAAGTGTAAATTAAGTAGCAAAAGCACATCTACAGCACTTTAATTTCAATAATAAAGTAGAAATATTTCAGAACTTTGATAAAGGTATGGGGTTTACTATTTTTAAGAGATCGAGCACCTCAGCACCTGGCAAAATTCTAGGGTGATATTTAAGGAAGTATTCATGCATACAAAGTAATAACTCTTCCTGTCTAACATGGATGCAGGAGAGATTTTGCTGAAGATATTATAACCTATTCCTGTAAGAAAGAGGGAGAAGAAAATGCCTAGTCTATATTCAAGCTTCTGTTTGCAGGGAGGCGAGTAACAGACTCTACCGCATGTCTTAGGTGGAACGTAACTACATAACTAAAATCTGACCAGATTTATACTCGTAAGTTTTGCCCATTATTGCACTGTGTAAACTTACCGCCGTGGTGCAGACACAATACAGCTTTCTTTCAGTAACAGTGATTTTTCCTTGGCTAGCAAAAACTATTTAGAAAAGTGCCACCTGGGGCAGCGCTCTAAAGCTCTTAAGGGAATAATGACCTCATATAAAAATATATTATGTGCTTCAGAGTGCAAATAAAAAGGCAAAAAAAGCCCAAACATGCCCACTCCTCTCCATGCACCAGCAAGCATCAAATTAGAGGGAACTCCTGTCGTTTGGAGTCCTTTTTCAAGCACAGTTTGTTTCCTGATGGATTGCAGCTCCGTCTTCCCCCCCCCCCCCCC